GATATTTGTAGTTACTCTAGACATTTGCAGTCTGAATTACATGTTCTAAAATCATTTGAAATACTCTTTCTATAAAAGATATTTATGGGATAGTATGATACTCAATTTATGCAGTTTTTCTCTCATAACCGGAAGTTGCCGTTTTTGTTTCTGGTGGGACGGACATATATCAGAACAACCAATAAGATGCAATAATGTGATGCTGAGAAGTATTCCAAAAAGAAAAGCTGAAATTTCTGATTTTTTTGATCACTTCCTGTGACAACCGGAAATGACGGCGAACAATCTTAACCCTTATGAGTTTCCTTACTTATCAAGATCTATTACTCATTCAAGTTTGGCGTGTCCATCTCTTACCGTTTCCGAAATCTCTTTGTGATAACTTCTCATATTGAGGACAAAAAATCACGCGACCGGAAGTGAATTTTACAAAGATATTTGAGGTTACTGTAGACATAAGCAGTCTATATAACATATCTAAAAATCACTACAAATACTTTATGTATAAAAAATATTTATGGGAAAGAAAAATACACAAATTATGTAGTTTTTCTCTTATAACCGGAAGTTGTCATTTTAGTTTCCGGTTGGACTGATATATTTCAAAAATACAAATAAGATGTTATAATGTGATGCAAAAAATGTTTCACGCAAGAAAAGTTAAAAATTTTGATTTTTGGATCACTTCCAGTGACGACCGGAAGTGACGGCGGACAATCGTATTCCAACTGAACTTGCCTACTTATCAAGATCTACCAACTGTATAAGTTTGGTGTCTTAAACTCTTATCGTTTACGAGATCTAGCTATGATAACTTCTCATTTTGAGGACAGAAAATCACGCGACCGGAAGTGAATTTTACAAAGATATTTGACGTTACTGTAGACATCTGCAGTCTGAATAAGATATCCAAAAATCATTTCAAATACATTACGTATAAAAAATATTTATGGGAGAGAAAAATACTGAAAATATGCAGTTTTTCTCTCATAACCGGAAGTTGTCGTTTTTGTTTCCGGTGGGACTGATATATTTCGAAACTACAAACAAGATGCTATAATGTGATGCAAAAAAAGTTTCAAAAAAGAAAAGTTGAAATTTTTGATTTCTTTGATCACTTCCTGTGACGACCGGAAGTGACGGCAGACAACCTTACCCCAATTGGTTTTGCCTACTTATCAAGATCTATTAATCATATATGTTTGGTGTCTTAATCTCTTACCGTTTCTGAGATATGACTCGGACAAAACTTTTTTGAAAAAATTGGAAATTGGAAATATCTGACGACCGGAAGTGACTTTTGAAAAACTGAAAACTGCATCTGAAAGATATTTTTACTTTCCATCATCCCTGATAATTTCATGAGAATCCGTCCAGTCATCTCTGAGAAATCGTCAAAACAAAAAGGGAAAAAATAATAATAACTAGATGCGATCTCGTTGCGAGCAACGAGTAGGTCTTCCGTCCGTTATCTGATGAAATAAGACCTGTGTTGGGATAATTACGTTGTCAAAAAAGCACAACAAGTCTTCAAAATATGTTTAGAAACACAAAAAATGTAGGATCAATCCATTCCAATCAACTTCCGGTTCTTCTTATTCATTTCCGGTTCGACCGTTCGTGCTCAAAACAACTTTCAACTTTACATCAAGCATGCAGTAATCATCCCTGAAAGTTTCGATGGAAAATACTCATTTTAAGACAACTTCCTGTTTTTACGAGCCGTACTTTCGGTCGAAATATTAAGATGGTACGCATTCTTGAAATCTCGATAACGAATAATTACATTCATTAGAAAATGTGAAAAGAAATCGCTATATTTAAACTACTTCCGGATTATAACGGAAGTGTCGACGGAAAAAAATGAAAAATTAAAAAATTAAAAGTATGCATATTGTTGGGAACATCATTTTGATCATCTTTTGTTCAATATTGCTTATCAAAATATTCACGCTTTTCGAGATATAAAGCGTCAAAGATTTAGCATTCTAGCCCCTTGTGACCCTTTATTATATAACATATGATCAAATTTTTAGTATATTTTGTTGCAAATTGTTAAGTTGAATATCTTTGCTTCAGTAATGTATCACAAAATATTGTTCATTAAAAAGTTAAAGACGAGAGACTTTTGGCCCCTTTATGCCCCTAATTTGAAGGGCTAACCCCATTTTCTTGATATCAAATGAAAGGTCTTACTATATTGCACATTTTTTATTATACATGTCTTAACAAAATATTAACAAGTAAAGAGATATAAAAGAAAACGTATCAATTTTTGCGAGATGCGTATGAGCCTATTTTTCGAGCCCAGGTGAGCGTCGATGCCTTTTTACCTGGAAAGCTCTATATGCAAAATGTCACATCTACTATCCTTCCTCTACCTTCACTGAAAATCTCAAGTCGATATCTTAAGTCGTTTAGGAGGAGATCTCAGGACAAGCCGACCCTCTAAAAATCAGAAAATCGTCCATATCTCACGACCGGAAGTGACGTCATCAACGACGAAAATTTCCGACAAGGTTCAGATGAATATCTATCAGATCTGAAAGTTTGATGAAAATCGGCCGAGCCGTTTTCGAGAAATCGCGTGCACAAAATCGGTAAGAAAAATAATAATAATAGGGAAAAAGAAACCGAACGAAAACAATAAGGTCTTCCGTTGGAGACGGAAGACCTTAATAAGAAAAAGAAAAAACAGTAGAATCACTATAAGGTCTTCCGTCTGAAACGGAAGACCTTAATAATAATTCTTTATTTAAAGAAGGTAACCCGATTAGTGCACGCACTATTCTTCCCCGGGGCCTTCTATAGACAAAATATCAACATACATACATACATATATATAAATTACAAAATCAATAAATAATCATAAGCTATTTCTACATTGTTTTACAAATTTTTTGACTTGATGCTTGAAAGCATTGAGTGTTTGAGACATTCTTATATGTACAGGTAATTTATTCCATAAGATAGCACCAGAGTATTGAAAGGAGTTCTCAAAGAGTTTACATTTATGAGACGGTACACATAGGTCTAATTTAGATTCAGATCGAAGATTGTATCGATTATTACACTGGAAGTCAAACATACTATTTAGATAAGTAGGGTGAGAGTTGAACAATGATTTATATAACAAAACATATTTATTTACAATACTCAAAGCATTCATATAATTATGTATATACCTAACTGGTATGGCGTTGAAAACTTTCAATAATAAATGAGTTAATTAAAACAGATGAAAACTAGAATTTTTTTAGTACAGTAAAACGTATGAGAGAGAAAGAATTTTCATATACACCTTTACATATACTTATCAAAGACTAGAATTAAAAAAAAAAGAAGAAACGAATAAATGAATTTAAACAATCGTCACTCTTTTTTCAAGACCCTTTAATTTTCCTTTTTATTTTATCAAAACCTTAAATATTTTAAACGTCAATATTTCAGGTCCTACAATGACTTTATCATAAAAAAGTTATCAAACCAGGATCTGTTATTTATCATACCGATTATTTGAAGGAATATTGATAATATAATAATATTGATGAATCTTTACTTTTTTTTTAAAGTGCGTTAATATGGTCGATATTAACGCACTTTGAAAAAAAATTATTTTTTTCAAAGTGCGTTAGCTTGGTCCCAAATTTTAACGCACTTTGAAAATTTTTTTCAAAGTGCGTAATTTTTCAAAGTGCGTTGTAACAATGCAAACATTTGGAATTTAGTATGGAGAATAATTTTTATTAAATTTTAGCTTTTTTCAAAAATGTGCCTCTTTGAAAAAAAAAATCGGAAATGGTAGTTTTCATGAAAATTCCTTTGTGCTGATATCAAAATTATTCAGTTTCAAGGAGGCAATTATTTATAACAAATGGGGATTCCATCTGATAATTTTTGTTGCGGGACTAATTAACCATTCAATTAATGACAAATTGGAAGTCAATACGCAGCTTCCAAATAAAGTTCCACATTGTGCATGCTTTATACACTGTTGCATTTTAAACAAGAGGCCCAGGAGTTACATTGCTCACCTGAGCTAGGAAAAAGGACAAATCAGATCCAAAATGAACTTTAGAAGAAGATTTTAAAGAATTCTCTATATATACTTATGTAAAACTTGGATCGGCCAGTGTAGCCCCATCCTACCCCCGGGGGTCATGATTTGATCAAACTTGAATGTACACCACCTGAGGATGATTCAACATGTGTTTCATCTTTTCCGTCCCAAAGGTTCTTAAGAAGAAGATTTTTACAGATTGTTCCTATATATTTATATGTAAAACTTTGATCGGCTATTTTGGCCCTACCCTACCCCTGGGGGTCATGATTTGAACAAATATGAATGTACACTATCTGTGAATGATTCAACACGAGTTTCATCTTTCCTGGCCCAATGGTTCTTGAGAAGATTTTTAAAGAATTCTATTAATTTTTCACAAATTCATAATTATCTCCCCTTGGAAGAAGGTGTGGCACTTCATTTGAACAAACTTGAATCCCCTTTACCCAAGGATACTTTGTAGCAAGTTTTGTTCTTGAGAAGAAGATGAAAATGCGAAAAAGTTTACAACAACAACGAAAACTTCGACGACGATGACGATAAACAACGGACAATTTTTGATCAGAAAAGCTTCCTTGAGCCTTCGGCCGAGCCTTTGGCATATTTTTTAATCTGCTATACATTTAGGGAAAATAACAAAAGAACTTCAACACCCTCTTTACTACCTTCGGAATTTTTACTGAATCGACAGCCAAGTAAGAAAGTGGGCGGAATTGTCAAATACTATATATGTGTGGGTTTTTATATGAGTTAGTTTACGATATTTCTTTAAAAATTTAGTTTGCTTTAAAAGGCAGAAATTCATTATGTTTTGGACTTAAAAGACATTCCAAAATTATAAACCTCTCTATAACATTAACATGTATAAAGTAGAAATAATAAAAAAAAAAACAAAACAAAACTAATATATAAAAAAAAAACTTTATATTACACTTACCACATATACCTGTATTGACGTCACAGTTCGAACAACCCACACATCTATTGCACCCTTGTCCATAACGACCTATATCACAACCTTACAAAAAATAATAATAATTTTCTTAAAAAATATCTGCATACAAAATTTTCAGAAATTTTGAACTCTGACTCAGCTTTTTTCAAAGTATATTTGATCCAGATAATTCTTTAGGCACAGTATAGATATCAGTTGAATTTTTTTATTGATTTATTATGCATAGTGAAATATACATGTTGTTTGAGCGGATATTTTTTTGGGAAAATAATAGTACTGTTAAATATTACAAGTTTTACTTAAAAGAACACTTTTTTATTAAACATGTTAAACTACATTTAGGAATTACTTTAAAACATTGTACATGTATGAATAAGATAATCAACAACAACATAAATATCGAGTAACATTAAATGTACGAATTATTATATGCTTCTGCAAGGAATTTCTCATATGTACGTTTAAATGTACAGTCGTTCGTTGCTCGAACACGACTGAGTCAACCATTTTGTGTCACAAGCGAGCTACAAATTGACGTGTGTTTCACATTGTGACTTCAAAAACATGGTGCAAAACATTTCACTACATATGCTTTTTCTAGAACGCGTGCCAAATTTCATTCGGATATGAATTGTGGTTTTGTAAATATAGAGATGATTTGCGAACTTTTTGATCAACCTTCGTTTGTATTTTGACATCTTAAAAAAATCTCCGATATTTCCATTGGCCACCTAAACTGTACTGCGTAACGTAATCATTTTAAAAGCTTCTCTTTTTTCATCATACTCTTAATGTTTTTGTTCTCAGGGGTTTTCAATACTTTTGAACGATGACAGTACAATTGCAACTCCACCCCCCAAAAAAAAGCATTTGAAGACGACTTGTTGCTTTAATTACCAATGTACAATCCAAGTTAATATCTTAAAATTTTTTGTCTGAAAAGGAAGAATAAAATGAATCGGAGTTACTACTTTTAACTAGTAGATTAACTAATTGAGAACTTACCATATACTTCGATTTCACAAATTTCAAGTATAGGTCCATTTGCAGAATCATTAGGAGTGTCATAATTGGTTTCAATGATAACGTATCTCGCCTGTTCCTTACAGAAGATGGTTTGTGTGTCATTTGGTACTTTTGTGTCAGGCGTGACGTCAGTGTAACATCTTATTCCCTCTGAATCTGAGGTTTTTGAAACATTCAAATGATAGTTTCTAAACCTATAAGGTTTCCAGTTTCCTAGATAAGAGGAAAAATACAAACATATAGAGAACACATTATTTTTTTATAATACACCACGCATAAAAAAGTAGGAGGGTATATAGTGATCGGGACATTTGTCCGTCTGAACGTCCGTCCGTCTGTCTACCTGTACTCAAGTCTGTTACGCTCTGCGTTTTTCTTTAATTTCTTATCCGCAACTCCTCTTATATCACTGAAAGAAATTGAATTTAATGAAACTTTCAAAGAATCTTGGTTACATAGTACCATTGTGCATTTTCTATTTTACTTTTTGTTCTGAGACTTCGGATGTCCCTAAGGAAAACATTGATTTTGCTGTTATACGGGTTACTCGTACATATATCGTTTTATGAATTTCTCGCAGCGCCTCAAGTTTTATTCGAGGAATTAACTGCTGTGATCGAAATTTAATTATTCTATGATTTATCTTTAACATTCCCTTCTCTGCATAACGGACGTGATTATAAGCTAGAAGACGTAAGTTTCTTTCTTCATTCAGTTAATACTAATAGTATGCATAAATATTTCATTTATTTCATTAAGATGCATCATCCTGCTCCGAAGGACTCAATTTTAGCTTACCAAAATCTGCAGAAATCTCATTCAGTTTGCCAAAGGAATATTACAGTCACTTGCAATTTAGTAAAATGTATAATTTTTAGGGTCGATTGAAGTCGAAAATGAAGTGATAAATGAAGATTTGCAGCCGAGATTCACTAGAGCTGAAAAAAAACAACTAGTTCTTTGTACTCATTTACAGCTAATAAAGTGGTTCTACTTCCCAGGTAGCACAAAATATTTTCATAACATCTTATTTGCGTTGAAAAAAGGTTTTTTTTGAAACATTTCAGACTAAACATTTTAAAAAATATTTTTAAAAACATTTCCTCTTCCTGTTATAACATTCTAAAACATTTTTAAAATGTTTTCAAGAAGCTTATTATGAAATACTTTTAGAGCATTTTCCTATAATGTTTTTAAAATGTTTTAAAAATGATTCAAAAGGTGTGTTTAGCTTTCAAATATTAAAGATTTTATGTTGCGTTTTAAAAACGTTCTTAAAACATTGAATGAAACGTTTCTTTTCCATAAATCTGAAACATTGTATGAATATGTTTCTAAAACATTTGGATGGAACATTGTCAAAATGTTTTTAGAACATTTGTAATATTGTTTAAAAAACACTTTTATTAAATGTTTTTGAAGATTTTTAAAAATGACTCAAAAAGTATGTCTATCTTTTATATATTTAAGATTTTATATAACGTTTTAAAAACATTCTTTAAACATGAAATGAATTATTATATTTCTGTAAATTGGAAATATTGCATATTGCGTTTCTGAAACATTTAGAAGGAACATTTTAAAAATTCTTTTAAAACATTCTAAATATCGCTGTTAGATCAACGTTCAATTCCGGGTATTTTAGGCAGTGAATATGTTTATTTAAATTACTAAATAAAATTATTCTTTTCACTACAACTGAAACGTTTTACGTAAATATATTTTTTCAACATTTTTGGTAACATTTTCTAAGTGTTTCTAAAACGTTTATATAATTCATTTAGTAATTTTAGGGGTATGTTGTGAGAATGTTTTTAGAACATTCAATTTATTGTGTTTTCTCTTTAAGAGACCTCATTTTCATTGCTACATGTACAACATTTTGTAATGTTACTTTCAAAATGTTTTTTCAAAATTCAAATAATGTATGATTGCAACTTTTCTAAAATTGAGTTTGTAAAGAAAAAAATATAGAGAGAGAATAGTGTTGAAATGAGGAATTGCAATTTTTATTTGAAAGATTTTTTTTTGGTATAGTTTATAATTATTTCTATTTTTGGCTTATTGATTATTAACAAAATCCGTCAAAAAGTCAATAAATGAAAGGATAGGAAAACAAATTTAAATATGAATAAATGAATTTAAAAAAAAACATATAATAATATACTTTTTGTATTTTTTCTTAAAAAATGTCAAATTTGTGATCCACCCCCAGAATTTAACTCTGAGGCCTTAGATAAGGATTGGCACACTGGTCAGCTTCAGTGTCATGATAACCTTGTTATGTAATTCTCCTGCTGGGCAGCGCGTTATAGTGTATAGTGGTTTGCAGCTCATCTAGGCCAAATTTGAATTCTGGTAAACAAGATGTGCGCGCTTACTCCTTGCCGATTTGAATGTGAAGACTTTGCATCGTATAAACCACAAAAATAACCTCGGGATTTATTAACTCTGAATGGTAAGAATTATTCTTTTAACATAGACCTTAAAAGATAATTTAAAATGACTTTTATACTACTAGTGCATGATCAATTATTGTATACAAATGTATGTAGGAAAGACAAATCGTTTAGGTTATACATGTACATATGTATTTGAATTGAATATTACATACTTAAGGCAATACAGTTATATCCTTGATTCAAATACTAGTATGTATTTGTTGTATTTGTGAAATGTTTAAAATCATCAAGCAATATGTTTATTTAAAAATAAAATTACTTTACAGCATGGTGTTAGTTCCATCATCCGTTTAAATTCCCACATTCAAAAGACCCGCCGTTAGTGAAGGCAAAGGTGTACGTAAATACTATTACTATTCAATAATATTATCATGATTATTGTCATAGTAAATATTTTTATGCTTAAATTTTATTAATGCAAAAGTGGAAAGATCTTAAATTGTGATATATATATAATTTTTAAAAAAATATTTTTTGTATATTTTCATTGATGATCTTAGGATACATAAGATTTAGAACGATGAATTTTCCTTATCTTTACAGGCCGTGCTATTCTTTCTAAAGGGCAGATTCCTTGTCAGCGTTTTCAGTGTATGTGATTCTAACGTCTAACTTTAGATCCGCCGCTCTGTTCGACCTACATGTATACAGTGAACATAGGATTTCCGTGATTCTGTTCTTTTAAAATTCAGTGATTGGATTAAACGCCGTTTTCACCCTTTAAAACCCGCTGACTTGAACAAAAAAATTTATTAATAAGTAAAACTTGTACCGTTAATGGAACTTAAATGTGATTTACATATTGATTATGGGTTTGTATTAAAGGTTCAAACATAAAATATAATTTGTGTTTATTTCTTTTAAAATATAAATACAACATTATTTAATGAGAAAAAGTTACATTTCAGTAAAAATACTTTGGTAACCATGGTAACATTCAACTTAAACATGTTAAAATGTTTTAAAAACGTTTTAAAAACCATACAAATTATTGAAATTAAAGTGAATAAAACATTTTTAAAAACGTTTTTGTAACATTTTTAAACAATGTTATGATAACATTTGTTAAAATATATTGTAAAATGTTTTTAAAACGTGTAAAAAAAAAACCATACAAAATCACGTGATTAAAACATTGCTGAAAAATATTTTTGTAACATTTTAAGAAAATGTTCCGGAAACATTTGCTGAAATATTTCACTAAAATGTTTGAAAAACGTTTAAAAAAAACCATACAAAATCACGTGATTGAAACATTGCTGAAAATGTTATTGCAACATTTTAAGAAAATGTTCTGATAACATTTGCTGAAATATTTCACTAAAATGTTTTAAAAACATTTTAAAAAAACATACAAAATCACGTGATTAAAACATTTTAAAAAATGTTTTCGCAACATTTTGAAAATGTTTTAAGAACATTTTAAAAATGTTTCTGTGTTAGCTGGGTTGTCCCAATTTATCACTATGACTATGCAGACTTTAAACAAAAGAAAAAAATGATAAAATAACTTTTTTTTACTATTTTTCAACAAAATGGCTAGTTTTATCTCTGATATTCGGCTATCCCGGTATTTGAAGAATATTTAATGAGTTCCGTTTTGTTTATTCTTTTTGTAAAGTCTTGTAATTTCAAATTGTCCAAAAGTTCTGCAGAATTTTTTAATATCCACATCTGATTCACACCACTTCTTGAATATATAGTTGCACAGTACTCTTGAAGTTTTTCCTTCCCTACTGTCAATATCTTAGTGAGGAGTAACGAAAGAAGCTTGGTTGAGCATTTAATGAAACTTGCAATGTACCTTTGTTTGTAACGACTCTAATGAAGTTTCTGAATCCAATATATATATATAAGGTAGTTAAAATTCATTTTGGCTCCATGGAATATTAAAAGTATTAAAAATTAATTGCGCTTTTTTGTAATAGCTTCTTTAGTAAGCTTTTTAAAATCGCTAAAATTACATCTCGCTTAAAATAAAATACCAATTTTTAAGGACAAATAGCTAATTATAAAATTGCGTTTCGCTAAAATTTTCACGTATACGGTATTTAAAAGGTCTGTGTTAGTTTGCTACTGATTTGTATTGTCTAATGGACTTTTTAGCTTGAATACTGTTCGATCGTTTTCTCCATGTATTTAAAGCAACGCAGTCCTAGCCTAACAGCAGAGCTGATTCAGGAGCCAATTAATTTTTTATTTGATCAGGTACTCTCTAATCATAACTATGCACATAAACTCCCCTTGTCAAACCATAGCCCTGATCCTGTGACCTGTGCTTTTAAAATTTTGTAAGAAGCACTCTTGCTCATCATAACTACATGTATATACTTATTCTACCTACTAGGAACAGACAGAATTTACAATAAAATTTTAGGAGATGCCACACTTTCCTACCAGAAACACCAGTACTGCGGGAATGGGGTCATAATTTTGGGAGAATTATTCTTGCTTATCCACCATTGCAATTAGTTAGTTTTCATACCCCGGTATTTATCAAGAGCAAAAATGAATACCTTCCAATAATTTATGTTTATTTACTATGTTATCGATAGAGCGTGGCTTAAATGATATTCACAATTATTGTATAGGCACTGATCATAACTATGCACTAATTTAATATGATAAATACATTGGAACAAAATTTGGAAGGGATCCTTCATTATACTTTATCAGCTAGAATTTCTGAATCGGAAACGGCTCGTTCGATTTTTATGATACTTTCAGGACTGATAGAACATAAAAAAAAGAGACCCAGGGGCCACATCGCTCACCTGAGCAATTGGCTAGGAAAAAGCACATATTAGATCAAAACTGAAACTTAACTGAGGGCAGGAAGGGGGAGGGGGCTTGAATTTTAACCCCCAAGGGGGTCATGATTTTAACAAACTAGAATCTAGAATACCTGAGGATGATTCCCTATAAATATCACTAAGCATGGCTTTGAAGTACTTGAAAAGAAGATTTAAATAGGTTTTATTTATATATTCCTATTTCAAACTTTTATCGGCTATTTGGCCCCACCCTACCCCCGGGGGTCATGATGTGAAGAAACTTGAATCCACACTACCTGAAGATGATTCCACATGAGTTTCATCTTTCTTGTCTCAATGGTTCTTGAGAAGATTGATTAATTGTATACTGTTTAACGTCCCTCTCCAGAATATTTCACTGATATGGAGACGTCACCATTGCCGGTGAAGGACTGCAAATTTAGGCCTATGCTCGGCACTAACGGCCTTTGAGCAGGAAGGGATCTTTATCGTGCCACGCCTGCTGTGACACGGGGCATCGGTTTATACGGCCTCATCTGAAGGACCGCCCCATTTAGTCGCCTTTTACGACAAGCAAGGGGGTACTGAGGACCTATTCTAACCCGAATCCCCACGGGGAGGTTCTTGAGAAGATTTTTCCTATATATTCCTATGTAAAACATTGATCAGCCATTTTGGCCCGACCCTAATCCCGGGGGTCATGATTTGAAGAAATATTAATTAACTTGAATCTACACTACCTGAGGATGATTCGAATTGGCCCTTTTACATGAGTTTCATCTTTCCTGGCCCAGTGGTTCTTGAGAAGAAGATTTTTAAAGATTGTTCCTATATATTCCTATGTAAAACTTTGATCGGCCATTTTGGCCTCACCCTACCCCCGGGGGTCATGTTTTGAACAAACTTGAATCTACACTACCTGAGGATGATTCCTCATGAGTTTCATCTTTCCTGGCCTAGTGGTTCTTGAGAAGAAGATTTTTTAAAAATGCCATTAATTTTTCTCTAATTCATAATTATCTCCCCTTGGAAAAGGGCGCGGCCCTTCATTTGAACAAACTTGAATCCCATTTACCCAAGGATACTTTGTAGCAAGTTTGGTTGAAATTGGCCCAGTGCTTCTTGAGAAGAAGATGAAAATGTAAAAAGTTTACAACAACGACAACGACGACAACGACGACAACGACGACGACGAAAACGACAGACAACGGACAAATTTTGATCAGAAAAGCTCTCCCTTAAGCCTTTGGCTCAGGTGAGCTAGAAAGCTAGATAAACATATATACATATTTTTGCTTTGATGACGTCAAAGTGCTTTTAGACAGAAACATAGCATTTTCAGCAATGATAGAGTGGCATGTGCTTATGTGACAGACACACTTCTTTTTTTTCAGGAAATTCTGCTATGGCTCGATAAAGTCGTATCGGGAATTAAAAACTCTTGAGTACTTTACCTACAATATCTTTTTACATGTTAATATTTTATTAAAAAGCATCTAGAACAGATGTTGTTGAGAATGTCACATTTAGATATATCGACAACGTATTGTCAATTAACATGGTAATTTTCATTCCTATGTCGATACGATATATCCTGGTGAGCTTGAGATAAAAGATACCACAGAGTCTGACACTTCTGTTTCATACTTGGATATTTTACTTGAAAAAGACACTAATGGTAAGCTAACAACCAAACTATATGATAAACGTGATGACTTTAACTTTTCTATCGTCAACTTCCCTTACATATGCAGCAATATACCTTCATCACCTGCATACGGAGTATATATATCTCAGTTGATTCGATACGCAAGAGCTTGCTCTACGTATGAACAATTTCTGAACCGAGGTAAATTATTGACAACCAAGTTGATCAAGAATCCAGAATATCAGCAGTCTCGTTGAAAGTCATCATTTCGTAAGATTAATGGTCGATACAATGACCTTGTCAGCAAATACAGTTTATCATTGAATCAAATGCTGACTGACGTTTTTCATACTAATTGTTAGTCCATTATTTATACACTGAATTGACGACGGATTTTTCCCTTATTTCCTGATTATGACAAGGAGCACACAGCGGATGTAACCGGTCGGCAAGGGATGCTCACTCCTCTATGGCACCTGATCCTACCTCTGTTGTTTCGGGGGTCCGTATTTGCTCTGCTCTTATTTTGTATTGTTTTATGGACTTTGAGTTTGAATACTATTCGTTATCTCCATATCATTCTTATGTCAAAGAAACAAAGTTGGTCAAAGTGACAATTTGCAGCTTATCAAATTGTCAATATGCGTTGTTCCACGTCACTTCCGGCAAAACATGTTTTCAAATTTGCTTATTTTCACAGATATTGGTATTGAACTGGGTTATAAATGTCACACAGTACATCTGACCGCATATTCTGTTGATTTTCATCAACTTCGACAACTTCTAATCTTACAAGCATTGCTTCTGAAAATCAGACGGAAGACCTACTCGTTGCAAAAAAAGATCTAGTTATAATTTTTAAAACCGATTTTTTGCACGCAAATTCTCGAAACGGCTTGATGAATTTCCATAAAACTTTCATGCTTTATGTTATATTGCTGAGACCTTATGTTTTTTTGCGTTCTAATGACGTCACCTCCGGGACGGAAATAATATCAATTTTATGATTTTGTTTATAGAGTTGTCTCCAGACTTTCTAAAAAAGGCTCTAAATAGAAACATGAAACAATCAGGTATGAGAAACTGTTTTTTCTAACCAAGCTTATTTTGAAGTTAGTTAGATGGTTGTATCTTCTTTTACGTTCCTCTTGAATTTTTTATTCTCGTATTGACAATAATATTACCGGTTATCGTTCAATGACCGTTAAAGTTCCTGCGGTGAGGGGATCCGCTATGCGGTGCTCCTGTTAATTTACTATCGACACATGATTTAATTTACAGTTACACTGTATGTACTATCTACACTGCATCTTTATTGCAATTTGACGTGTTGTTTTTAAAGAACGGAAATATACGCTTTTGTACTGATGCAAATTGAATGTATTATTTTTTTTGCACCGGTTTCGATGCCTTGTTTCAATTTTACTTGTACAATGTACACGTATAATTATGTCTTCGAAACGATATAATTATATGTACACAACGAAGATTCAACGAAGATTTTGAAACTGGTTTATGTGGTGCATTACATGCACTTTATCAGACCAACTACTTTGAAACAAGAAATGTTTATTAAAACACTCTACCCCTTCCCCTAAAAAGTTGGAATTTTTCTAAGTAGAGGCGCAGAGCTCTCTCAGAAATGGCTGGATCGTGCCCAAAAGAGAACTTGACCTAGATATTCTTATAAAAAATCGGTATACCAAATTTCAGTTCAGTGATAGGCTGTAGGGAAAATGAACGGAAACTAAAATGTTTGAAAGAAAATTTCAAAATTAAAGCTGAATTTTCAAAATCAATTTTTCACAAATGAATAAAAATTAAATGGAGTTAATTAAACCTTAAATCATTTGAGTACGACAATACGGTTCGGAGCGGGTCGGCAAACAATTCTTTAAATACGATCTCATTCAATATATAAGTATTTCTTTTTTATACATGTTATATGCAATAATGTAACGAAATATTACTTTCATTTCTGTAGTAGATCACAACATATGACAGAGAATAGATTCCTCCAAGATCCACTTTTACCCATGCTGGAGATGGCTGATCTGCTTTAGTATGTGCACAATTTCCATAATTTTGCTGCACGTTGCTATCAATTACTAGAGCTGCATTTTGGGTTAGATGTGTGGAACTTTGTGTTGCTTGAACATTCGTCTTAGTTGTACAGAGATTAACTGTAATGAAAATTCAAGAAAACCTTGTTATGATAGATAACTACGATTTTTTAACTGATCTTTTCCATTTAATCCACTTCTTCTTTGACAAATATCCTTGTATGAAAAAATATAAACAAAGCACACATAACAAAAACAATATTTAACAAAAACAGCTAATTTAAAAAATTATAAATGATTTTCGTGGTATGATCTTTTCTGTTTTAATAAATCATTAAAAGTATACAGTCCTATTTTATCTGTAATGTCCAGTTTCATACCAAAGCCATTCAAGGATTCTCGACTCCCAATTGCCCAGACTGACTTGTTATTACCCTCTTGCTCCCAGTGGTTTGGGAAGGGATATATTATTTTACTTATCTGTGTGTAAGCATATGTGTGTGTTCGTTTATCCTTGTGCAATAAGTGTGACGTCATTCGCAACCGTAGCAATATTGGATACCTCTATGCTCTTTCCTAAGTGATGCTTCGTATGTTGTCACCTTGTTCAAAGAATATGTTGAGATAACAGTATTCAAGTTAAAAAGTCCATTAAACATTAAAAAAAATATTAGCAGAGCACAGGCAGACCTCAAAAACATCAGAAGTGGAATAAAGTGTCATGGAGAAGTGATGATCTCTTGCCAATCGGCATCGTCGGAAACCCACGGGTGATCTCGTCTTTACTTATCACCCGTGGGCAAACTCGCCGAAATATTGCCGTAAAATATGCTAATTTGTTGTTTTCAGTTAACCAATCAGAAAGTTGGAACTCTTCAATTTCAAAAATACATGTACGTTTATTACTTTGCTATTTATGGTAAATATTTTGACGCTCGTTAAAACGTGCGAAGTTTGATTTAAACAATGAAAGTCAATTCGTACAGGCCACTGACATTAATATCCGTCAAATATTATATGAGTACCTCTTTCTATTACTGCAAAATACAGCGGTGAGTGGATTTATCAGCTGTGTTAACTTTGGAATGAGTTTTTCTTGTTTTTGGCAATGCCGAACATGCATACGTAACGTGAACTGTGATTCGTTGTTTCGCATCGCGACTCTGTAATGCGGCCAATCAAATGACCCATGCATATTTAATTACATACGACGATTTTTCAGGGAGTTTGCCCACGGGTGATAAGTAAAGACGAGATCATTCGTGGGTTTCCGACGATGACCAATCGGTTACACCTGTTGTAATTGTTAGAGAGGAACTCTTTAAATCGACGTTTAGTAAGGAAAGTGTTCGAATCAATCTCTATTTTTTTCATTTTTTTTTTTAAGTTTGACCTTCAATTAACATGTCCGGAAGATCTCTAAATTCCGTAAATCTGGAAATTTTTACGTCGATTTTATTTTGCGAATTAGGGTCAAAAAAGCTGTTGATTAATTTTTACGTCTCAAAATTTTGCGAATGACCGCTGCTTTGTTTGCATTTTCTTATTGTAATTTATTTTTAAGAAAAATATTTTTGCGAATGCAATGAACTCGCTAATTTGCTAAAAATTTATCTACAGCAAAAATTTCCAGATTTACGGTAAGGAAGTCAAGAGCGATAACCGTGAATTGCTATAAATGCACGGAATAAACAAGGTGCTAGTCTACCTGATCAATCAGATAATCAGCATTTATACAAACCCATGAAAAAATAAATAAAACACGTAGTTTTGAAGTTTTTGCTCAAAAGATTTTTTTGAACATTTTTTGTAAACTTTATGCACATTTAGGAATAATATAATATTTACGACAATTCTATCGTGATCAAACACCACTTAAAAGCTTAGAAAACGTTTTGATTGGGACTAAAAATCTGTCATGCACCAAGAGGTAGCAGTCCCAAAAGTTTAACTTACGTAAGTTAAAAATTTGATATAAATACGGAAAATACGGAAAACTTTCAGTATTTAGAGCCTGACATCAAAATCTGATCGAATAGATAACAGTCTTAATTATTTTTGGAGTGTTTTTAATAAAACCGCCCATGCAGTTTCTGGTATGCGAGGTATGTAAAATATTGGAAAAAACGCATTTATGTATATTTATTCTCTTTTCTCCACGTTTGACGCCTTTCTTTATGCCCATTTATAGTCTCATAGCTTTGTAACAACCACTAATGCTACAGCGCCGCTAAATGATAGATATATCATTAAGCGTTGCAATGCAACGCTTCTTGTCATAATTTATAGCATTAATGGTTGACATTCTCAACCGCTAATGCTGAATCGGCGCTTACAGTGTTAATGAAAGAATTTTATCATTAAGCGATTGAAAAAGGTCAACTACTTATGCTATGATTTAGAAATTACATTAAACGTTGCATTGCAACATTTAATGATATTTTGTATCATTAGAGGTTGCTACATAGCTTAGTATTCGGCGCATATGAAATATATGAGGATAAGAACTTGCTGGTGTGATTTATTCTTCCGTAAACGATTACAATTTAAGGTTGATTCTCTATAAGGTCATTTTCCGGCCTACGATAAAATCACTTTTAAATGTGATTTTATATAACTATAATCATTCTATTTAATGATTTTGGTGTTTGTTTTTCAACATCGATCGCCTAAGTCACGTGATTCAGAGATGGTCGTCAGTTTAAGAAAAAAATGAGGGTAGGTCTATACACATCAAATTTCTATGCGTGTTTCTGAATGTAATGATCAAAAAATTGTGTAATAAATGCAAAAAAAATTTAAGTTAAAGACCTAAGATAATTTTTTGACGTGAATTTTGATGAATCCACATTTTGCATATTTTGAATGTAAATCTTTACAAAATGCACACCGTATGAAATTGAAAAGAATAATTGATATGCAGCATAAAAATATCAATGCGAGTACACGTTGACTATCCATATTCATGTGAATAGTCAATACATAAAACTCAGAGCAGTTGCATTTAAATATAAATCTTTTAGTAAGATTAAATAGCATCGTAAAAATGGCTTTGATGTTATTTAGCTACTTGTGCTGCATGATATAATTATTTATTTAGAAATGCCATCTCAGCTATATGTATATGTATACACATGTATAAAAGTTAAGACCTCTCTTTCCTAGCGGCACTGCATAAAAATGGAGTAGATTTCATGGGCGGATACAGGATTTGTGATAAGAGGGGGGGGGGGGGCGTGGATATTTTTTTTTTAGGCAAGGGTTCTGGAGGCCGCCTTAAGGCCCCCAGTGGGTCCAGGGCGAAGCCCTGGTTGGGGCCCAGGGGGCGAAGCCCTCGGAAGGTCCTGGATTTCCGTGTATTTTAAGAGTAAAACCAGGCACTGTAATAGTAATTATTTTTCATTTTTTGTTAAAGTGAAACATAGGCCCGGTGTTTGAATATCAATTCTATTGAATGTTCCTACTTGTATTATAACACAAGCCACTATAATCATGGACCTATATATACTGACGGGATTTCGTAAGTTTTTTTTTTTTTATTAAAGATTTTTAAATTAATTATTATATCTCTTATACTATCACATAATTCAGATCAAAACCTTTAATTATCTATCAAATATTCAGTCAAGATTTGTTTTCTAGCACGGATTATATTCCTTATCTTGGTAGTAATTTTGTTTTATTCAAAATTTCCGAGAAATCACCGATTTCGGTGTTTGTTTTCTTAATATTTGATTTATATTTAAAGAACGAGGGGGCTTTTGATTGGTATTCGGCAGGAATCTGGGCGTAATTGAAAAGTGAAAATTTTATCGACATGCCACATGAAATTTTAATATTTTTTTTATTTATCGGGTTCCTGTGCAACAGGAAAGGAAAATATTTTCCAGAAATTGAGCTTTGATTTGCTAAAAAATAACATGAAAGTTGGCCAGATCAGACATTTGGTACAAAATGGTACATTTTAAACACGTTTTTCTAAAAATTTTCTATCTCTGCGTCTTCTCTCCATGATTTTGAAACGTTATTTGTGTGTATTTTCATTCAAAGAAACAAATACATTTTTTTTAAAAAATGGAGAGAAGACCCAGAGACAACGAAAAATGAACTTTTCCCAAAAAAATCCAAATGTGTGAATGTGGTGCTTCTTTGCCTTTAAAAATAGTTATATGTGCATAACGGTGATAGCTCAGTAAGTTGGGCTACCTGTCCAGTGCACTGAGAGCGAAAAGTTTTTGAGTCGAGCCTGGCATGGGGCGTTAATTTTTTTTTCAGGCAAACAACCATTTATTTTGTCAGTTTTGTTTTATGAACTGATGTATCAAAATTTTGAATTAGATAAATTTTGGTTCAGTATGGTTCTTGAGCGAAATCAATTATAATCTTCTATTCTTTAATGTACATGTACACGTACATGTGTATCATGCATCTATATGCCGCGATTAAATATTTCAGGTGTGTATTTTTTGTGAAACAATACTATAGTATAGTACCCCCTAGGAAAAACGGACAAAAATGTTACAATCTCACACTTTCAAACTAAATGAAAAAATACCCTATGGACGTGTTTGTAAAATCTGGCCAGCTATGTTCAGCCAACCAAATCATGGGCATTTAAACCATAAATGTTTCGTACAAATGATTCCTGCAGATCACACGCCAAATGCGCCCACCTTCTTTATGCTTCAATTTAAAATCTATTAAATATCAATTCTATACATAAAATGAATAAGTGATATTAATCAGAAAACACCCTATTTACGAGTAAATGTAGTTTGAAAACCTTGTACATGTAGTGTTGTGCGTGATGTTTTGGGTGAATACACCACAGGCACCTGAAGTATGGATAATACCCCCCCCCCCCTTTTTTTTTAATGAAAAAAAAATATAAGAGTGTATAATATCTCAAAAATATAAAATTTCCCCGTCAAACACATCTATATATCGTTATATGCAAGCAGATTATACTTTTTCTCACGTTTAAAGAATGGCCTTATTCGGTATAATAAAAATACACAAGGTAAGAAACAAAAGTTGTAAACAAACGAGGAATCCCTATTTCGAGACAGATTACAAAGGTAATAATTAATGTTACCTATCATAATTTTGCAATCACTCTG